ATTTTCATGCAGACCATTGTAATCATAGTATAAGAGCTGGCTACATAAAAAACCTTATCATCGTTACATGGGTAATTTTTTGTGTGATGTATCCTTTTGTGTAGCCATTAAGATAATATAGTCATATCTGCCAGCGCGATCCCGGGGCTTAAAGCGGGGGCGGGCAATCGAAAGGGTGAAATTTGGACACTAAAAATATTATAAGGTACACGAGTTATAATTGCAAAAATAGCTTTTATTTATTATTAAGAAACGTGGAAAATTATTGGTAGACATTTTTCTAGTAGCTAATATGCCGACAGACAACGCGAAAGAGGCATGAAATTTTAAAAATTATTAAAAAACGAAATTTGAGAATGAAAAAAATTATAGCATACATATATGCCGATTGGTGGTATTGTCAATTTAATGTAAAAGGGGCCGTATGCAAAAGGGCAGATAAAAAGATCAGATTCAGGGAACGCTCGCCGCCTCATCCATTTAAGAATAGATAAATCATGTATACCATTATATTATAAGTCTCAAAACCAAACGAAATTTGAAGAATGAAAAAAATTATGGCATACATATATGCCGATTGGTGGTATTGTCAATTTAATGTAAAAGGCCGTATGCAAAAGGGCAGACAAAAAGATCAGATTCAGGGAACGCTCGCCGCCTCATCCATTTAAGTATAGATAAATCATGTATGCCATTATATTATAAATCTATTTTTTTATTATTTCAATAACAGATATCATATATTTACTATTCTGTCTCAATATTTGTATCTGACTCATCGTACTGCAGATCCTCGCTCTCGCAAACGAGTCATCCTCTGAGCACAGAATATCTAGCTACGTAGCTAGATATTCTGTGCTCTGAGTCGATATCTGCACCGTAAAATTTTTGTAGACTTACATGTATTATGTTTCAAGTAATAACGCGCCGAGCGTTTCCTGAAAACGCTTATACAGTGTGATTCTTAAATAAGTGCAAACTTTTAAGGGTGATATATTTCGATCCCAGGAGGAACATGTCTATGAGTTTTTTTCGCAAAAAAAGATGTAGAAAATCGTGCATTTTTGTTTAAATTTTCCTGTATATTTTAGAAAACTTTTTAGAACTGCCTGTTTACCGCATATTTACCCACGGTATAATTATTTCTTAACATACCATGCTTACGGCTTTACTCTATGGCTACACACTAAAAGAATGGTACAAAAAAACAGATGGCTCACAAAATTATCTAAAAATAAATTAATTTCTTTGTAAATCTTCCAACTTGAATAATTCGGCTATTTTGGACTTATTTGGAAAACGGTAAAAATAAAATAATAAGTTTTTTTATTGAGATCAAGCAGCTCTGAAAATATTTGCTCTTATTGAAAATTTACCCTGTAGAATAATATCGCGCTTTTGATAGCTGTCTACCGCTGATTGAGCCACGATTTTTTTGTCTGCCCTTTTACATACGGCTTTTTAAATAAATAAGCCACGACAAAAATGTCTGTCGACAATTTTACACGTTTCTTAACCCTTAACTGGTCCGGTAATAGATATGTATCATAAACGGTCCGGCGTAGTCTGTGGGACTACGCCTTCTAAAAAGTGGAAAAAACACACAAAAACTAAAAAATAACAAATTTTTATTTTATTATATATTATATTATGTATTATTGAACTAATATAGACAAAAATGAGTTCAATTAATATAAACTTTAAGAAAATATAGTACAAAATAAAATAACATACATATAAATTTGAAAAAAAAAACAATTAGATTTTTACTAAGCTCTAAAAAATAAAACCAAATTACTAACAGTCATTACAATATAGAAATATGTTTTTAGTACTATATATAAAAAAATAAGCTATAAAACTTAAGTTAAAGAAAAGGTTTTTAGTTACAGCATGAGGCAAAGTTCATTGTTTTCCTGAACATGTTTTATAAAATGGATTCGTACATTCTAGGCATTAAAAATAATTAAACTAGGACATAACATTGCCTTTAACTAGGATAAGAATATCTCCGTGGGCGTGTTCTGGTTGTACAGGAATTGCATAAGTATTCTACCAATTGTAAAGTATATTTCTCTTGGAATATTTGACATTGTCAAACGCATTTGTCTGACAGATTGTCATATTGTCACTGTCAGAGTCCTCATCATATCATTTTAATAGAGTTTCTTCATAACTAGAGTCTCCTAAACGCACTCTTTTCGAAGGCCCGGCTATATTTTCCAAAAGTTTGTCAAACACAAAATCTTACGCAAACGGTCCGGCGTCGTCTGAGAGACTACGGCTTAAGTAACTTCTGCCATAACTTCTAAAAAACTAATCCAGTTTGAGCATAAATATGGTTATCAGTAGTTGACCGAGAGGGGGAGGATTAGCTGGAACGCCAATTGTGTGGGCGGTCCCAGTAACTAATGAGAATGAGTTAATTATTTGGCGTAGTCTGTCAGACGACGCCGGACCAGTTAAGGGTTTTAATAATAAATAAAAGCTATTTGGCAATTATAACTCGTGTACCTTATAATATTTGTAATGTCAAAATTTCACCCTTTCGATAAGCGGATTTTTTAAAGCGGGGGCGGTCACCGCTTTAAGCCCTGGAATCGCGCTGGCAGACATGACAATTTCACAATGGCTACACTAAAGGATACTTAGCCATGCAACAATGCTAAGGTTTTTTATGTAGTCAGCTCTCCGTCTCATCATCAGGTAATCAACGACTAAAATAATAAAGACTAATATAAATATCTAAAATTTAAATAGAACTGAAAAAAATATATATTTCAAAATAAAAAAATAATTAATTTTACACACCCGATCATAATTACTCAAATTACTCTCACCATAGCTCAAATATTACATATTTTTTTACGTACGTCTAATTATCAAAATGAATTATTATATCACATAATACATTACGAAAAGACGACAATTTGTTTGTTTTTTAATTATCATTTTGGTGTAAATTGTTTACCAGTGTCTTCAATACGACGTAGTACCACGTAATACCAATCAATGTCTATATATTATTATTAAAATAGATATACATCTGCAGAGAAAATGAATCTTCTTAAGGTTAATGTTTTCGCCATGACCATGAGTTCATTTCGTTCGATATAAACCTACCTATCTTGAGGTATAAAATTCAAACAGGTTGTGAATGCACTACCAACCATTTCTTACGTTGTTTGTCGTTTTTGCTTATAAATGAAAACGGCAAAAGATTCTCTTTCTATTTTCTCTATCGTCCGTTTGTTGCAAAACCTCATTATTGCTCAAATGTAAGTCAACAGAATAGTGAAAATAAAAATATATATATAAGTGATTTATTTATAAAATATATTTTCTTTTTTTTCGAGTTTTAGAAGTAAAATTTTACTTTTATCAAGTTTTTTACATAGTAACACAATGATGGTTACATAATGCACTCTCACTGCTATTTGGGCAAATCCGAGGGTAAATCTAATCCATTAGGTACCTACGTAAAAAAAATATCTTATTCTCCTTACTGTGCCTTGTCAGGTTCCCCTGACGTTGGCAATCACGATAGCAAGCTGATCCTTGTTATCAGCCACTCTAAACAATTGTTCGGCTCTATGTATGCCTGTCCATTCCCGGATGTTCCACAACCAGGAGATTTGTTTTCTTCCTGCGCCCATGCGGCCCTCTATTTTGCCCTAATTATAAGTTGTAGGATCCAATAACGATTTCCTCTAAAACATGGTCGAGGTATGGTAGCCTTCGGCATTTAACTGTTATCAAAAGTTCATGAACTGCATCTGCCCTGTTTAAGACTGCTTCATTTCTTTGCATAGCCATGGTATTAGCATTCTTCTATGAATTCTATCACCACATTTCAAATTCTTCCAGACCGTTGATTGTGGCAGCTTTGAGTATCCAGATTTCAACTCCGTATAACAGCACAGACCAGATGTAACATTTAGTCATTCTTTGTCTCAGCTTTAAGTTCAGACTGTCGCGTCGTTTCAAAACACCAAAAGAAAAATACGTTTTTAGTAATTTATTGTAGATGTTAAAATATACCAAAAATATATATTTTTTTGACATAATATAATATTCTAGATTACATATTTAGTATGAAATATTTAATAATTAAAATTCAATACTATAAATAGTCATTTACTTATTATAAGTGTTTTATTTTTATCCAATTAAATAATAAGCGATAATGTACAAAAAGTTGAAGGTGAAAAGTAATGAAACAACCTTTCACTAACAAGTAATTAATTATACATTTATAAATAATGATAATTGTTGGATTAAGACGTAACAGTCAATTGTTTTGTACAAGCAAGCGGTAGCTTCCTTAATTTAGAACTGTAAATCTACTGTCTTTCTTTTAAGTCTCATCACTATCTTTAATTTAACTTTACTTTTTCTTTCGTTTTATTTTCGACATACCTGACTTAACAAATCAAGCAACTTTACTGAGTGGAGTAAATTCACTTGAATTACTTAAATGGTAAGAGCAACTAGTCAAGGCAGTGTAGTGATTTCGTTGTAATAGAAATTATACCAATTAATGCCTGAAATAAAAGTAATTGGTGATGAAATAATTAATGTAAAGTGTGTGTACAGTTCTATTTAAAAACATAATTTTTTCCACCTAGAAAATGCATGTTTAACGCTTTATAGTTTATAAGGTGATAATTAAAGAACATTTAAAAGGCCGTACACCCTCCTTTTCATAATAACCTAATTATAATCTAATTATAACATAATTATAATCTTTTCTTAGCATTTAACAATAATATAAATTTTATAAATTGATGTTTAATTTGCCTTTATAAATGGTTAACAATAAGATCAGATAACAGAAAACCTACCTTTTTAATTTCACTATTAAAAAGGTTTTTTAATTCGTTACTTTTTGATTATACATATTCCTATACCTAAAACAAATCGTTTTTAAGTTATTTAGATTTAGTTTTAAAGCGTATATTTTTCTGCTTTTTAACCAGTTTTTAACCTATGACCACAGATAACACATAATCCAGATGGCTCCTTACGTGTTAAAAATTGTCACCCCAATTTCACTCCAATTTGGAAAAATATTGGAGTGACGTTTGAATAATCTGAAATTTTTAGATTCCTTTTCTAACTTTTTTGGGAGGTTTTGCTTCTCTTGCACAGATGTCGCTTGCACTTCAGTTGCGTGGTTGCCAAACGTTATATCGAAATATATTTCATTTCATTATGAATATATAAAATTAAAAATTATGTAATTTATAAACATGAAATAGATATGGATGTTAGGTAATACCGGATGTTAAATTAATATATAAATATTTAACTTAATACGTACATTATTATTTTATTAATTTATCGTCACACGTCATTTACCAGTTGCCTAATTACGAAAAGTTTCATATGATATTAACCTCAAAAATGATCTTTGAAAACAAACAACAACAAATAACTCAAAGAAATAACTACATAATAATAACTGATAATAATGACTTTTAATGGTATAAAGGCTGATGAAGGTAATTATAAACATTATTTTGAGTTTGTTTAATAAAATATAGGATACAATATAACTAAGCAAAATCAAACAGTTTTAGACAACCAATACAAGATTCAGAACTCGGCATCGCGATAAACAAGTAAAATTGTACATTCAGGAACTCGTTTAAATATTATAGGTAAGTAATATTTTCACAAAAGTAAACATAAAGTAATATAGAATATTAACTGTGATAAAATGTTAATTAGTGACGTATATTTATTCTAATCACATTTAAATTTAAACTCAAAATTTTCATAAAGAAAATGATAATTTTTCATAGATATAAAGTAAATAATATTACATATTTCAGGTTGATTGAAGAATAATCTACAATTGATTAGAGCCTATGACGATGCGAAGATAATTAATCACCTAACTTTAAGAAACCAGCCTAAAGAAGTTTACATGCATCTCATCTAACCATTATAGGTAATAATTTACAAAATTAGTCATTTTTGATTATAATATTATGGTACTTAGGTACATTTTATCTTCTAGATCAGTAGTGATTTTTCATAATTTGAATGAACTCACAGATAGCAATGGGGCACCCTCAATCGAAGCAGTATTACAAAATGTGAAATAAAACTGTAGTACATATTGCTCTATAAAATTTAATAGAAATAAATTTATTTATGAAAATTAATGAAGTTTTATCTTTCCTAGGAAAAAAAATAACAATTATATTTTGAACAATTAATTTAGAACATTAGAGTTAAAAAAATATATGTGTTAGAAATTGTACACATATTTTTAACTCTATGTTATTCTAACTTAGAATAACATATTTTTAATAAAATTGCGCTTATACTTTATACTTTTTGCTATTATATCAATAAGAACTAACGTAAGGAGCAATTCATTTATACTATAAACACACATGCATATTTTTTGATCTTTTTAAAACCAGTGAATAATGTTGAAATATGCTACACCTATTAATTCTTATTAACTAACTTTATAGCTAGACAGTTGAAAATTTTACAGATAATGTATCTATGTTGCCGCTATAAGAACAAATACTAAAAACAGAATTAAATAAATGTTTATAAATAAAAAGTACTTCTCACTCTAAACATTATCGTTTAAGTAAGAATTTTACACAGAATATTGAAGTCCTCGAGTGGCCGTGTGGTTAAAGGCGTTAGGATTTGAAGGCGTTGAGACGTAGTGAGGCAGGTTCGAATCGTAGGCAAGGTGACTTTTTCTTAATCTTTTTTTTTATTTTTACATATTTTTACATATTTATTTTTACTTATTTATTATTGATTAATACAATTTTTAGCAATGTATTTCTTCATTTTTTTAAATTACTTACAAGCGCATTCAAAATTTCAGCTAAATCGGAAAAAAGTTTACAATAATATAATGTCTGATGTTGTATAGATAATGTGTGAATGGTACATTCAATGATAATGAACTCCTTCGTGCAGCGAGTCCGACTCGCACTTGGCCAATTTTTTTTGTTAATTGAAACGTTTAGAATTTGAATATTCGTTCAAAATTTTTTTTAATAAATTTATTTATGATAAACAATTTATTAATGAAAATAATATGACCGAATTTCCTGGAAAGTTTTTCAAATTTGTACATATGAAAACCTAGCTTTTTACCACTTATCATAGAAAATCTCTATTCCTTCCCTTATCACGGAATAATAAAGGAACGAACCATATGCGACAAAGATAGAAGATTTAGATATGTCGTTACTGTCTTTTTGTTTTTAACGGATATTTTAAAAGGCGGGTAATTTACCTTTGACTGTCTTTGATTATAACTGTGTGTGATTAGTGATAATAAAATTATTATTAAAATGTCTGGTAATAAGTGCCAATTTTATAATTGTGGATTTCTCGGAAATCAGGTGTACATATGTTTAAGTTTCCTGCGTCAAGAGATCCTAATTTATGTACAAAGTGGATAGAAAATTGTGGTGAGTTCATTCATATAGAATTTTTTTGCACATTTTGTATGTAAAAATACGGCGTTAAGTTACCTTAGAAATGGTGATCGATGGCTTTTACCATATACCGTATGATCGAAAAAAACGGCGTCAGCGATGGCTATGAAATGAAGATCGCTGTCATTTGATATGTAAAATTATATGGGGAATGTCATCGACCATCATTTCCAAGCCAATCGGACGCCTTTTTTGGATCATACGGTATAATTTAACACATTAAGAATTGTCCATCGTTATTTCTTTATCTATGCAAAGTTTATGATGGATAAATCAAGTAATTAAGTGGATATAAATTATAAATGAATCAGTGAACATAAACTGTTATAAATTATAAGTAATGCAATTATTGAATATACCATACGATCGAAAAAAAAAAACGGCGTGGGAGTGGGCTTGGAAATGAAGCATATATAGATTAATTGAAAGCATTTTATAAAAATATATAGTTATACAGGGTGTCCCCCAAAAAGTTATACATTAAAGTTGTTTTTGTAATGGAATACCCTATATATTAATTGATTTTTGGATTCCAGGAAAAATAAAGGTGTGTTTTATTAAAGAAGCATGTGCCTTGAATGTAAGGATTTTGACATATTTCACATTTTGTGAAAATGAAGAATAAAATTTAAATTTCAATAACAGCTATCTATATTGTAATTTATCCTGTATAGCCTGATATTTAGTTACAATAACCATAATATGTTAAACCAAATTAAAATGTGACAGGAAAAGTTATACAGGGTGGGACAAACTTATATTGAACATTTATCACTTTGAAAAGCAAGTTACTCCTTTATTTTAAATGGAACACCCAGTATATTATTTCCGTGTTCAATGGGGAATTCTATATCTTCAAAATATTATTAAGGTTGCCTACCCCTCTAACAAAGATTTTCCTAGATACTTTCATTTTATGATTTTGCGTCAGTAGATCTTTTATTATTTGAAAAAATCTAGGTGGCTGTGTTAATTTATCAAAAATTAAAGGATGTAGTATAAAATACTGTAATAAAAACATACGTTTAAAACATATATTAATTATCACAGAATTAAAATTAGATATAAATGTATAATTATATAACAAAAATTTGAATCTAAAAGTAGAATCATATCAATTCTTTCTGATGTAGGATAAGTTTCTATTTTCGGAAAATTTCTTAGATTTTTTTTTGTTTCAACTGACGAACTGACACAAAATGATAACTAGTTGCTAAAGTTGAACTAATTTGACAGCTATGTTGAAGTAACGTCAGACATATCACAGCCACCCTAGATTTTATCAAATAATAAAGATCTATTCACACTAAATCATAGAAATGAAAATATCTAGGAAAATCTTTGTTTGAGGGGTAGGCCGGCAACCTTAATAGTATTTGGAAGTGACATGAATTTCCCATTGAATATCGGAATAATATTCTGGGTGATTCAATTAAACTAAAGGAGTTATATAGGGTGGGTATTAAAGGAGTTATACAGGTTATACCAATGTTCAACATTAATTTTGCCCCACCCTGTATAACTTTATGGGTCAGGTTTTAATTTGATTTAAAGTGCAATAGAGTAAATTCCAATTTAGGTAGTTTTTCTTGAAATTTAAAAATTGTTCTTCAAAATCTTAAGTAAGTCTAAAACCTTAGGGTACGAACATAGTGGAGGCAAGTTTCTGCTTTCCGGCAACCGGCGCCGTCTCTGGGGACCTATTCTTGACCACTCGCATCACCAAATATCGCTCGCATCTCGCATCTCTTAAAAAGCCATATAACAATACACAGATGCGTAACTTTGCGTATATGCATCACGTGTATTGTATATGGCTATTTCGGAGATGCGAGAAGGATTCGGAAGTAGATAATTAAGAGGAAATTTACCTGATTAACTAACCTAACCTAACCAAACCATATTCAAACGCCGCGCCCGCCTCGCCGGGGCCGCACATAGATGTATTTGGTTTATAAACCTGGCCAAAAGTGATATTTTTTTATTTTCATTTTTTATCTTAACTTAATACAAATCTATAAATACTAAATGTAAGCACGTTTATTAGTTATTAGCTTTTTTAAGTCGTAAATTGACTATCAAATAAATAATATATTTCAGTTAAAAGTATGACTTATCTGATAACCCATAAAAGTAAGTGTATTCTGAATATTTCTAAGATTATAAAAATAGTGGAATTGTTTGTAGTGCTTTTTTTGCAAATTGTTCATAATAACTGTCATGATGGATACAGAGCCAGCTTTGTTTGTTTGCTTTGTTCTGTTTTATGCCATATTTTTTATTTTGAAACGTTTCCTTCTATTCTATTTTTTTATGTTTTATATTTAAAAAATCAGTGGCATTTTTATAAGGTGTAAGACTATTCGGCAATATTTCACATGGAAATTAGTATCCGTTCAATGCTTAAAGTCTCCAGCATTGGAATATGCACAAAAATCTTCCCAATATTTGCGACTGCCAAAAAAAGCATTGATTTAAATAGATTCTTAAAGGAAATAGTCTTTACCCTATTAACACCCATCCTCGCTCAAATATCGTCTATAATATACAAATTACTTTCTTGTTCTAGCATCCTCATCCAATTGCATGGTTTTGCACAGAATGGCCCTATTTGATCGGTGGAAAGGGTTTCAGAGTAGAGGAAAAAATATTGTGTGGGAAAAACAAAATGGGGTTCCATATTAGCAACCTGTCCTCTAATTAATAATTAATATTACTAGCAAAAAAGCAAAAAAGTCATGAAACATAATTTTGGCCAACTTTTAGTTCTTAATACCCCCTGTGCGCCGTCGGCGCGTGCAAAAGCAGAAATAAATAAATTTTCGTTCCGGTAAAAGCGAGAACGCCGATGAACGCTGGTTGACGGTGCCTGCCTGCTTTCACTGGGAACTAGCCGATTTGATAACACGCTTTAATTTTTCAAGGTTATAAGCGCGAGGCGTGACCTTGGCGCGGCGCTACGATGTAACCATATACAGGGTGTCCCAGAAATAAGTGCAAGTATTTTAACTTAACTGGTAGTATAGTTCAACCCCAGAAACACGCCTATGAGGTTTTTTTCTGAATAATTTTTTTTTTGAAAATTCGGAATTTTTGAAAATATTTTTGAATTTTTGTAATTTTTTTAGTTTTATTTAAAAAAATAATTTCTTGATAATATGGCAACATAGGTAGTAGATTAAATTTACAAGAAAGAAAATCCAGAAAAGATCCAGTGGTTCTCAAACAAATCTCGTCGTTTTATTGACTACAATAAAACGACGGAAAGCAGCATATTTTGGTCATATTTTTCGAAATAACAATTATAGTTTCCTACAGCTGATCGTTGAGGGAAAGATTGAAGGACGACGAGGCATCGGGCGTAAACGGTTTTCCTGGTTGCGGAATTTGCGCCAGTGGTTTAATATAGAAGAGGCCAGTGTAATTATCCGTTTGGCTCAAGACAGGGAGGAATTCCAATTGATGGTCGCCAACCTCCGATGAGGAGAAGGCACATGAAGAAGAAGGTTCTCAAAATTTTAGCAGAAAATATTTTTTTTTTGGAAATTTTCAAAGTAAAATAACTCCATTATTTTGGACTTGAAAA